ATGTCAAGGGCCACAAAATCAAGCTTTGTGAGGTTTGACATGATAAAAATTCTATAATACAAGATATAATAATGATGTTAGAAAATAAAAACAAACATAATAATAATATTCAAACTTCTCAAAACAACATGCATTAGATTATTCAAGTTTTCAAATATATATTATATGTACTATTAGATTTTAAATAAAAGATAGATTAGGTACATACTCGTTAATAGGCTAGATGATTTGCGTCGTTTGGTAGAATAATCCTGCCGATAACGTGTTGTGAAAAATAAAATATATATGAGAATTTAAAGGAAGGATGACAAGAAGAAGAATTCACTATAAAGTGAATACAAGTGAGAAAAAACTTTAAGTTATTCTCTTAATCTCTCTAAAAACTTGTACATCAACAAATGAACAATCAAGCCTATTTATAAGCCTCGAGTTGAGATAAGAATTGCGAGAGGACTATAAATAATTAAAAGTACATCAATTGCATCAACCTTTCAATTTCTCATATTAAATGGTGAATTGAATAACATTAAGGATCATGAGTAGTGAGAATCTGAAAAATAGATAGATATTCATTATTTTATAACAAAATTATGTTTTTCTAAATAATTGTTTTCACATTGTTAATTGATGAGCTTTCTAATTATTCATGTTAGGTTGACAAATCAATTAAGATTTCTTTAAAAAGAAACTTAAATATATAAGGTCAAACTTTAATCCTTTTTTCTTTTCTTTTCTTTTCGGGTTACCTAATCCTTTGATGTTATCCAATCAATTTCCACAAATCCACACGCATTGAAAAAAATTATAAATTCTTTTTTCCAACAACTGTATGCACTCTCTCCTGGTATTTTTTTTCTAAGACATGGAGAGAATACAGGAATAGTGCATCATCAAAAACATCGTGATTCATCATTAGATTCATCAGAGCTTCTGTTTTCAGTCCAAGGTCCATTGGGTGTTAAATTTAGACAACAACATTTTTTTTTCCATACCCCATATGTCTGCAGGATATTATTAAAAAACCATACATTTTTTTTTCGTTCTACAAAAGAGCGTGTGCAAGATCCAAGCTGTTTTTTTTTTTTTCAATTAGGTGTGTAAGATTCAATTGCAATCAATTCTAAATTGTTAAAAAATATCTCAATTCAAAAATTTAAGTTGTTGAATGAGACTTTACAAATGATTTTTTTTATTTTAAAAGAGAAAGTAAAAGTAGTCGGATTCAAACTTGTAAGTATTTAATTATCAATTTGATATCTTATCAAAAAATCATTGCAGTCTAACAATTTAAGTTGTTAGATGAGACTTTATAAATTATTTTATGTTTCTCTCTAACAAATGCAACAATAAAAACTATACAATTAATTAAGCAAGCTGCCAGCTGACATCTAGTCTTGAAAAAAGAAAATTAAAAAAAAAAAACTACCGAACATATTTACATAACAATTCACCAAAAACATAAAAAATAAAAAATAAAATTCACAAGCTAGTTGTAAGCAAATGCTTGATATTCACAAGCTACTAAAGATCAATGACTTGGCTAAATGAGTCATCTCCTTAGTCGCCGCCTGCACAAATTCTTTAAAGAAGAGTCTAGGTTCAATTCATGGGATGATAGGTGGGAATTTAAGAATGGAGAAAGTATACTCTAATTGTAAAGTCCACAATTAATATTTGGCCTCCCATCAAACTAAAAAGAAAAGGAAGAAAATAAGAAATGTGTTAGGGTGTGGCCCTATGTCAAAAATCTTTTAACTGCAATCAATTTTATTTATATTTAGTCATTTATGTGATTAGTAATATTTAATATCATCACATTCAGTTCTGTACTTTGCATGCTACCTACAAATCCAAAGTATAGCATTCGATTTATCAATTTATGCATATTAATTTTATGGATTGAGGAGATCAAAATGTGATATTCCTTTTTTTTTTTTAAATATTTATAGATAGTGAGATGTTTTTTGGTCAATTTTCACATTAATTGACTTTAAGTCCACCATTTTTTAAATTAAATCAGCGCTAGGAAACGTTTAATTTTTAATTAATAACCAGACTTTTTCTAGATCAAATGAGCCTAACCAACTCTAATATAACTGAAAAATAATTATAACTAATTATCTATAAATAGTGAGAATTGAATCTTTATCCGTGTCAAATCAAAATAACATTTTACTGCTAGACCATAACTGCTGATGGAGTATGAAGTTTCAAGAATTCAATTAGTATGTTAATTAATTAATCTGATGATTGTTATTATTATTCAAGAGAGAACAAAAAAAAAAAAATGATAACAGCAACCCAGTTGATGATCCCACCTGGCATTTAAAAAGAATTTTTTTTCAGAGAATAAAAAGCATGGCCGTATAAAATTAAACAATTAGAATTTTTTTTCAAATTATAGCATTCTATATATATATAAACTGCAGTGTATGTATATAACACTTTGTTTGTTCTGTAGATAAAGCGGAGTATTTTGTTCGTTTCTGTAAACAAAGTAGAATACAACAAGTTTAGCTAAATAAAATGAAATACAAGAAGTTTTTCTAAACACTAATATTAAATTTTCTAAACACTAATATTAAAAACTATCTACAACTCTTAACAAAGACAAAATAAGAGACCAGAACTCATCTACTCTAGTTTTATTCCAGTTTGATGGGTGCTGCTCCTGTCTAATACATTGTGTGATACATCCTCCACAAATTGACAGTTTAATTTACTTAACTTTGAAACAAAATTTCAAATGGTTTTTAAGAATTTGAGTAGACATTTTATTAATTAAGAATTTGAGTTAGTATTCTATTAATTAAAAAAGCTGCCAAAACTTTGCTCACTGCAATTTCAAAAGAAAAATGTCAAAATTTTGCTAGAATTTTAGCCTTCTGGATTAGTTCTCTTATATTCATTATTCTAGTGCTAGAGGTGGAGACAAGAGCACTCTCTAAGCAAAATCCAAGCTTCATGAGAGGTATAAAAGAGAAAATAAGTGTACTCAGTAACTGATCTTGTTAAACCCAATAATTGTATTGAGAATTTAATTTTGGCATTCTAGTGTCATTTGAAAGAATATAAGATGACAAGCAGGTTTAGCTTAGTATTTGTGTACTTAGCTAGCTTTCTTATTGAAGAAAAATTTCAAATCCTAATGATTTTAGTTTTTTTAATAATTATGTAATAGAAATGATTATCCTCAATGTGTAGCCCAATAGATTCATTATGCCTTCGATGAATAAAAAAAATATATGAGAAGATATGCATTGATTGTTGCCATTAATAAATTTAAAAGGACCTTGTCTCATTAAAAATAATCTCATTTGAGAAGGGCAGAAAAAGATAATTGATTGATGCTAGTTTGAGAGAAATAAAATGGTGAGAATTGAGTTATTAGTGCAATTTTGATTAAAAAAAAAAACTCTCATATCAAATTAAATAATAATAATAATAAAAAAGTTTATTAGGACTGTATCCAAATCTTTTGAGGGATACTTGAGACTGCCGTACGTTTGTCCTACGTGCTCCTAGAGAATGGCAACTTTATTGCCGTCCGACCTTGACACGAGAGACAGATAAGAACTCAAAAAAGTTTCTTAAGCCCAATTCATCTTCAATAATAAAATCTACAAATCCATAAAAGCAGGACATGCATCAGGCTTGTCAACGGAGGATTGTCCCATTGCTGCTGGCGGTACTATCCATAAGCTTCTTTTTCTTTCCTTTCCTTTTTCGTGTGAAAAAGAGAAAAAACAGAGTCATATTTAGGAAATTGCAAGGCAAATTAGTTTTATCTAGCGCAAATCAAACCGATAAGGAGGAAAAAAAAAAAAACTTAGTAAAATGTTCCTTTCCCTATCTAACAACCTTTTTTTTTTCTAATACTTTTCTCTATCAAATCACTACGATTTCCCCCTTACTTTATATATCCCAACACCCCATGGTGTCATTAAATCAATCCCAAAGCAATAGATTGAGATTAATTGCTTTCCTTAATTATTTATTAATTGACGATACCCTAAGCTTTCATTGTAAGTAAATCAAATGTATTAGCGAATGGAAATGTCCAAGAAATTGAACAGAAATCTTAGATATAATCCAAACTAATATTCCAAAGCAATCATCACTTCCACTTAATTGGAGGACTGACTTAAAAAAAAATTGACTCAATTATACACACTATCGAAATTTTTTTTACTAGTAATAAAAAGTCATACAGATCTAGATAAAATCTTCATTACTTTAGATTTTTTTTAAAAAAAATAAGAGTTTATTTTTAATATTGTTGAATCCTATGACTTCTAGTAATTTTCTTGAATACAACTTGGAAAAATAATTTATTCGTGGACTATTATTTCGCATTCTAGTGTTTAAGGATTAACTTCCTTCTGTCTCATGCTCATGCCAAAATAAATTTTGCTTATAAAATATATTTTTTGTACCTTTTTCTTTTTTCATTACTTCTTTTTCTATGAATTCTATTTTTAATTACTTCTTTTTAGAAGAATGTGGTTTGCAAGATTTTTTTTTAAAGACAGAATTTTTGTTAGCCATGCACGCATAACAGTCTGAGAATATGACACCCATGGGCAGAGAAATTTTCTTAATATATATATATATCTATATATGAGGAATTAACGTGAGAGATACATTAAGTAAATAAAAAGATAATATAAAGATAAATAGTCATGTGGTTATGTATGTGATAACTTTTTACAGTAAAAATTTTTTTTCGAAAACCAATAATTCAGTTTATTTTGTTATTATGTAATAAAAAAAGATTATCTTATTGTAGAATCCAAAACCCACAGAACATCTTAGGAACAAAAAAAAAGAAAGAAAAAAGAAAAAAAATAGAATAATTAAGAAGTTTCCTCTCATTTTCCTTCTTTACTTTTACTCGGAACCACCTCATCGTACTAAAGCTAAATTTTTTTAGTTTCGAAATTTAATCTCTCCAAACAAAACAGCCCACGCGTAAGAGATTCTCTATGTCGCCTTTCAATATGCAGGAGACCTCGTCGTTCCACACCCTAGAAATCAATGTTTTATCATGTGAAGACTTGCGTATTAATGGCAGATCGGTGAAGAAGAACACCTATGTTGTTGTTCGAACGGACCCTCTAAACTTTCGCGAAACAACAACCGACACTGAAGGAGGAAGCCATCCTTCATGGTACCAAAAACTTGTTCTCGACATGCCAACACGGGTAACATTTATAACCCTAGAAGTGCATTGCAGGACTCTTTCTGAGGATCGAATTATTGCGTCAGCAAGAATGCCAGTGAATGACTTCATGGGAGGGTATTTACCAGAGGGTTATTTGAGCTTTTTGAGTTATAGATTGAAGGACCCAAAAGGATTTCAGAACGGTGTTATTAATATTTCGGTGAGATTAAGAGATTCGGAATATTTAGCCAAGAAAAAGAAGGTAATCATCCCCGAAGACAAATGTTCGACATCACAACCTGCGCTGGCATTGCCGGTACTGGATGGAAACAACCATGATGTAGTAGTAACTGGGATTCCTGTTTGGAATGCTAAATTTACGTAATTGTTAGAAAATGTCTATACGAGAGAATCCAAATCCGGTGTTTTTATTAATTAGTGACTGTTTTCTTAATTAAATCGGTTGTTAGTTTCAATTAATTATTTTGCGTACGTGTCTATAAAATTTGTCCAATGTTTTCATAAACAATCTATTTTATCAGAATGCTGTTTTTATTATTATTATTTTCGCTATGGATGAACTATTTATTCTTTTTTTTTTTTTTTGTTCTATATATATATTGCACGACAACTATGTTGTTATTTTCGTTTAACATCATGTAACTTCTTTTTTTCATCAGCTAATCAATCCTCTTAATTATCACATGCTTTTCTTTTGTTGTTAAGAGGTGTGACATAGTTTAGGTTCATTGGCTGGCCCATCAATGGGGTCTTAAACTTGCACAATAAGGGGTAGCCTTCTTAATTTAATTCTATCTTTAAATCCATTAATCACCTATTTAATTTGGAGATCTTCAATATTGAAAATTCCTGATCCTAATTTTTTAGTTGTCTCTTTGAAGACTTGTTAATAAGTTTGAAGTAGTATTGTCACCATTCCATGTAAAGAACAAAAAATTATATTAGGACTTTCAATTTAAAACCATAAATTGAAATATCAAAAGAATAAAAAAAAAAAAATTCGGCCGGTATTTATTTCTTTTTAATGCAACTTTTTTTTTCTTTCATTGTGTTTCGAGAAAATCCCCGAAAAGAAAAAAAAAGCCGGAAAAGTAAAAGTTTTTGATTAAGATTTGAACAATTTTGACAAATGTTAGTGATGATTGTCGATAGTACATAAGGCATTGACGTCCTTCAAATCTTACAAAATCATTAGCATTATTATTCATTGGAAATCAATGCTACAAAAAAAACGATAAAATGACAACCCTAACATTAGAGAACTAGAATCACTAGCGCATCAGATGCATGCAAAACCACCAATGGAAAAAAAGATTTTCTTTTCTTTTTTAGCAAATTACCAATGACAAAGCAAGATACAGTGGAAATCCAATTTTGACAATCCTTTGTTATTTATTAATGAAAAGGATTTTTTTGCTGGTTTGGTTTGGTTTGATTTTCTTTTTTTTTCTTTTTTGAGACTTGATTGAGAATTGAGTGATAGTTAGGGGATGCATATGCTCTTTTCTTATCAAGTACCAATCTCCTTATTCATTTATCTCTACTGGCGGCGTGAGATAGGAGGAAGTTTCCTTAAACCACGAGAAATAAATGTGCACGTAATAATAAATTATATTTCCAAGTTCTATTAAATATGATTAGTATAACTCATATGATTCAACAATTATCCTATATACTAAACCAAAATAGTTTCACTGTAGCAATGAACAGTAAAAAATCACTGTTCATTGCTACAGTATGTTTTTTAAATTTCTATTGATTTTTTTTGCTAGACCCGCTGTTCCCCCCCCAACCCCAACAACCAATCTGTTTACTGTTCATTTGAACAGTAAACGCCTGCCCTCCTCCTTTTTCTTTTTCTTTTTCTTTTTTGTAAACATTTAATTTTTTAAAAAATTTCCACCCATTTACTGTTCACATGGAACAGTAACGGCTTGCACCCTTTTTTTTTTTTTTTTTTAACATTGAATTTTTTTTTTAATTTCTGTTTCTTAATAGTATTTGGTGTTAAAATTTTATAAGAACCAACAATTAATTGGGTGTTAAAATTCTAAAGAAACCAACAATTTATTTCCTTTATTATTTATTTTTAAAATTTTTTAAAAAATAAGAAATAGTTAAATATAAAATTTTTGATTAAAAAATTATAATTATTTTTACCGTAAAACATATTATTAAATTGAAATAATTTTTTTAAACGATTTTATATATTTTATCCAACCCGCGACATAGATGCAGATAAAAAATCTAATACTATATACTAAAGAAAAATCATTTTCATCGTAGCAATAAACGGTGTTAATCACTTGTTCATTGCTATAGTACTTTGGCTTTTTTTGTTTTTTAAGTTTTCATTTTTTTTTTTTTGCCAGCACTCGCTGGCCTTCCCCTCTTTTTTTTTTACCCGTTTATTGTTCATTTAAATGGTAAACGGCTTGCCCTCTTTCTTTTTTTTTGTCTCTAAACACTATTTTTTTTAAATTTCCGTTCGTTTACTATTCACATGAACAATGAACGGCTGCCCTCCTTTTTTTTTTTTTCCTAAACATTGAATTTTTTTTTAATTTTAATTTCTTAATAATATTAGGTGTTAAAATTTTAAAAGAACCAACAATTAATTGGGTGTTAAAATTTTAAAGAAATCAGTAATTTATTTGCTTTATTATTTATTTCTAAAATTGAAAAACACAAATAAGAAATAGTTAAATATAGATTTTTTTTTCATTTAAAAATTATAATTATTTTTATCATAAAATAAATTATTAAACTGAAATAATTTTTCTATATGATTTTATATATTTTATCCAATCCGCAGCGTAGCGCGGTAAAAAATCTAGTATTACTCTAAAGAAATTTCTCTTATTTTAAAAAATATAAAGTAATGAGGGTTTTATGTAGATTTGTATGGTTTTTTTTTATTATGATGATATGAGAATCTCAAAAGGTTGGTCAAGTAGTTTAGGAGGTTTATTTAATTTCTTAATTTTATGGATTAAATTATGGGATCCGTTTTTCTTAGTACGTAAAAAAATAAAATAAAATAGTAAAAATCACATAATAAATAAATAAATTTATTGTAAATTAAAACAAATAAAGAATTGAAACATTTTATATTGACCATTAAGAAGATTAGAAATTAAAATCATTTTACCATAATATGATGGTATAAAGATGATTGAACCATCGAAATCATCATAATTAAATAAATTAAAAATGACTAGATTAAAGCATAGACTAAGATATTTTCTTAAGACGATACGTAATGTCCGCAAAATTTATTCAATTCAGCAAACCAATCATGTGTTGTAAGTCATCTCATAGATACAATAACCGAACTATTTTTGTTGTAAGTTTATAAGCATGCATGTCTCATAAAGTAAGAAGCTCTCATATAGTATCCTCACTTTATCCAAACAAATATAAATATATATATATATATATATATATATATATATATATATATATATATATCATTAATAGTACATTTTTAGAGTATAATAATATAATCAATACTACAATCACATATTCAATCTTATTAAATCATATCAAATATATATGTTTTTCAAAGTACAAAAGGATGCCTTTTTTAAGTTTGGCTAAATAAACGGCTACAAGCACATATAACTATCATTATTGTTAGTCATCATGGCATGCAATTAAATTACTAATAGTTAGTATTTATTTTCTCTTTTAATTTGTTAATCACACACCGTAAATGTACAATCCACCCACTAGTTTATAGGTGTAGCTTGAACAATACGGAAAGTCTCGTTAGAACTTTGTAACTATTGGTTTTAGTTGACGATGGGGTGGCTTTTTGGAAGATAAGGGATTTTCTCTCTCTTAGGGTTTTCTTCTATTAGGGCCAGTCATATGTTTTTGTTTTTTCACATCATTTACATGTGACAATTACGTGTCTCACACGGGGCTATTACATCATTAAAGCATGTCAAGTGGGTCTCACTAACTAGCCACATATGCAAATAACTTACGAAAAAATTGATAAAAACTTAACGAACACATTTGATTAGAAAAATTTACAACTTGGATTACTCAAATAACAAAAGTTAAAGAAGACATACTTAATTAGAAAAAAATTGAAAACATGATAAACTAAAAATGTGATTAACTCATCTTTTACATATAATGTTGAAATTGATATTTCGAATGAAAATAAGGATCTTAAGCTTAAATTATTGAAGAATGTCGATATAGAGATGATTGATCTAAAAAAAAAAACAATCCAAACAGAATTATATCCTCTCATAAATGAGTAGTTTTAAACTCATAGTCAAAACCCCTAAAAATGTTAAGCTAGTGGGATACAAATTAGTATTTTTATAAAAACAAAATAAGAAAGATGAGATTATGAGATACAAAGTAAGGCTTGTAACATAAGAGTTTTCGCAAGAACCTAGTATTCACTATGAAAAGATATATTTCCCCGCAATGGATGTAATTACATTTCGTTATCTCATTAACCTAGCAAAATATATGAAAAACTTCATATGCATACATTTAATGGATGTGATCACGGATTCACGACTTATTTGTTCGATTGAAAATGATATCTATATGAAAATCCCGTATGGACTTAAGATGTCCGGAGCATGTAATATATATTCTCAAGAAATGAATTCAATTAAATTATAGGGATCCATATCAAAATTATTTTAATATTTATTTATTATTTTAGTTTTTTAGAAATTCAATTTATGATATACTTTTTATATTTATTTTTTAATATCTATTCTACAATAACTCGACATTGACTATGAGGAGATATATTCATCCGTAATTGATGTAATTACACTTCGTTATCTCATTAGCCTAGCAAAATATATGAAAAAATTTATGCATACATTTAATGAATGTGATCACGACTTATTTATTCGAGTTGAAAATGATATCTATATGAAAGTCCTAGAAGGACATAAGATGTCTAAAGCATGTAATACATATTTTTAAAATAGATTCAATTAAATTATAGAGATCTCTATTGAAATTATTTTAGTATTTGTTTCATTATTTTAGTTTTTAAAAATTTAATTTATGCTATACTTTTTATATTTATTTTTTATTTTTCAATATCTACTCTTTATTACTAACATATGTGTATGTAGTATAATTGTTTCAATAAATATTTATTAAAAAAATATTGTAAAAATAATCATATTTGTTCAAGTTTTTTATAAAGAAATTTGAAAAAGAGTTTGTGATAATTATTGTATGTGCTAATGATTTAAATATTATTGGAACTCCCGAAGAGATTCAAAATGCCATAAGTTATCTAAAAAGAGAATTTGATATGAATACCTTGAGAAAAAAAATTATCTCGACTTGCGGTTCGAACACTTAAAGAATGATATTTTTATTCATTAGTCAATTTTTATAGAAAAAGTTCTACAATTATTCTATATAAAGATTATCCATTGATTAACTCAATGGTAGTTTGTTCACTTGATATCCAAAAAGGACTTTTTTAACCTCGAGAAGATAACAAAGAACTACTTGGTCCCGAAATACCATATCTTAGTGATATTGGTGTATTAATGTATCTTGATAATAATACCCGACCCGATATAACATTTTCTTTAAATTTATTAACAATATATAATTTTACTCCAACACGAAGACATTAGAATGGAATTAAACGTATACTACGTTATCTATGAAAAACAATTGATATAAGCTTATATTAATCTAATAAATCAAAGACAAGATTAATTGATTATGCAGATCGATTATTTATTTGATCCACATAAAGCTCACTCACAAATTGGTTATGTATTTACATATAGAGATACATCTATATCACGATATTCTTTGAAGCAAACTATAACTGTCACATTTTTAAATCATATAAAAATACTAGCAATTCATGAGGTAAGTCGAGAATGTATTTGGTTAAAATCAATGACCCATGATATTTAAAAGATATGCAGTTTATCTATCAATAAAGAAGTTTCAACAATATCATATGAAAACAATATTTTTTGCATAATTCAATTAAAGGAAGAATACATCAAAGTGACAATCCGGTGGACTTATTCACTAAGGAATTATTTATCACGAGCTTTTGAGAAAATGGTCCACAAGAGAGGCATTGACTTAAAGATCTTAAATGATGTTTTCAATAGGGAGAGTCCAACACGAGAGATTAATGTGTATAAGAAATATTGTACTCTTTTTTCTTCACTATGATTTTTTTTCCACTAGTTTTTTTCTAATAAAGTTTTAAAGAGATATTTTTCTTGTATAATGTACATTCAAGGAAGAATGTTATAAAATAATAAATGTCTATGATCATTTCATATTCTCATTACTCATGTGATTCAATTCACCATTCAATATGAGAAATTGAAAGGATGATACAATTTATTCAATTATTTATGCATCTTTTAATGGTTTATAGTCTCTTCCAATTCTCTTTCTATTTTTGAAACCTATAAGAGGCTTGATTATTCATTAGTTTGTGTACAAGTATTTTGAAAAGTCTAAAAGAATAATTTGAAGTTATTACCTCTTGTATTCACTTTATTCAATAGTGAATTTATTTTTTTATCATCTTTCTTTTCAATTCTACTATTATTATTATTCCTTTTATAACAAATATTATTTTTTTTTCAAAATAATCTTATAGGGCCGAATTCATTTCTTTTATAGCTTATGGTAGTGTTTTTGGTCTAATATAACACTTGTTATCCGATCGGTTGCAATCGAGGTTCAAAACACTAAAATCAACCTCAAATAAACTTCGGGGGTACTTATGTCTTATGATTGGATAAGTTAATGGACTTATCTTGCATGCTCGAATTGATTTCTACAATCTTTTACGACTTAATCGCATTTTCAATGTACTTAGTTGCCAATTTTTTCTAATCAAGTATTTCTTTTTTTATGTTTGTTAAGTTATATTTTTTTCTAATCAAATGTACTCATTAAGTTTCGCCATCTTTTTATGTTATTTACACACTTGGCTAGTTAGCAAGATCCATTTGACACATTTTAATGACGTGGCGACCACATGTGAGACACATGACTATCACATGTAAATGATGCATGAAAAAAACAAGAAGGGAAACTCCTAGCTAGCCCTAATAAAAGAAAACCCTAGGAGAGAGAAAATCTACTATCTCTCAAAAAACCACCTCGTTGTCAACTCCTCCTTCGCCACCGGGCACTATCTATCATTATCCAGCTCCCACTTGTCTCTCTCCACTCTACAAACACAGCCAAAATTCCATCAAAAATCACTTCTCCCATGACCACAAATCCTCACCAAGAATTCCTTCGGTTGTAACCCGAACCATCCACAACTACCATCTCCTCCACCATAATCCCTTCATTGTTGTTAAAATATATATAAACTTGTATTTGTTTAGAAAATCTCATAAAATGAACCCAAAAAGGGTAGGTGTTATTTGGACAAAAAGGAGAAAGATGGAGATGGAGATGAGAGAAGAGGTTGCTAAGAATGATTGCGATGCAAATTGGCTTCCCAATTTTAATAGAGTTAGGTAGTCTTGCATCCAAAAGGTATCTATAAAAGAATTTGAGAAGGAAAAACAAAAATTGCCTAATGTTGAGAGTCATACTAAGATGCCACACAACCTTATATCGGCAAACAAATGGCAACTAATCTCTATGCTCTAAGTACTCGTGTATTCTCTAGATCACAATATGTCCAATCTTTTCCATTTTCAAGCTTGGTTCTTTTTGTGGAGAAATTGAAATATACATTTTATGTTTCAAACATCATTGTATAATTTTTACACCGATCGTCCATGTTAAATTGTTAGGATTTCGTTGGGTTTGTGTTCGTGGAAAATGTGTTTTTTGATGAAATTCCGACCGGGTTTATGGGAGTGGGAAGAGACGGCGACAGAATCGGGCAACAATCGGCGATGGTCGGTGATAAAAAAGGAGTTGACGATGGGTTGGTTTTTTGGAAGACGAGAGGATTTACTCTCTTAGGGTTTTCTTATATTCGAGCCAATTGGATGTTTTTGTTTTTTGTTTTTTATTTTTTCACATTATTTATATGTGACGGTTACGTGTCTCACATGAGGTTGTTTCATCATTAAAACGCGTCAAGTGAGTCTCACTAACCGGCCACATGTGCAAATAACGCATGAAAAAATTGATAAAAACCTAACAAACACATTTGATTAGAAGAAATTTACAACTTGAATTACTCAAATAACAAAAATTAAAAAAGACATACTTAATTAGAAAAAAAATTGAAAACTTGATAAATTGAAAATGTGATTAACTCATCTTTTAGTTTTATTATTTTTTTTTTCCTAAGATAAAAGGTGTAAGTCTAGGTTGTTTACCAACATATGACTTTTCATCTTTGTGTAGTTGGAGAATTGACTTTGGAAATTAAAATAATAATATTTGATCACATTTACGTTTTCTTTCTCAAGAGAAAGATAGGAATTGTAACAGGGAAATTAGAATTGTTTTAAAATCCAAACAATGACTCAAGAAATTCTTCGCCTTGTTGTAAAATTGTGGATATATTCTATTCTATTATTCCAATTTGTATTCAATACGTCTTGGTCAGTTTCCTTTCTTCATACATATATAGTTCACCTTTCTCGATCATCACATGCGTGCAGAAGATGCAAAACCCTTTAAAAGAACTAGAAACTACATGCCCCTTTCTCTCTGCTTTCTCTTTAACTTCCTGTCCTAACTTTATAGCATTGTTCTAGCTAACAATCAAAGTCTTTTTACAAACTTGAAGAACTATCTTAATATGGATTGAAAATGCTTGAAAATTGAATAATAGAAATTATTGCTTGACATGGACGTTAATTTGATGCGTGTATTAAGGTACATAATTTCCTGGAAAAAGTAGTGCAAGAAAATATCATGTTTGGATTAAGAAAATAAGAGACCCATCATTTTCGGTACTTGATATTATTAGTAATTTATATATCAATTATTGTTAATTTCTTAGTTTTGGGGAGCAAGTTATCTTAACTTCGGTATTCCTTCTTTATATATATATATTCTAGTTGGAACACTGCATAACTCAGATTTTTCGGTCATCTATCTAAAAAAATCCAGCGGTTGTCTTTTCTCATTTCTGGAACCAATGGTTGTTTCTTTGCTGGCTACATTCTAATTACATCTCCAATATGACTTGACATTTTCATTTATAGATGTCATGTTCAAACTTTGAAAAAAATGGTTGGAAATATAAGGATCGGGGAGGCATATACCTAATTAGATATAATCGAGGACCAAGCCTGCTCGTGGGATTTTTTTTATAATAAGATATTTTTAAATCTTATTTTTTATAACAAATAGTTTTAAATTTATGTTCTATAATAAGGTATTATATATATATCAAATAAGAATTATTTTATTTAAATACGTTGAAATGCTAATTTTATTTTATTTTTTTTGTAAAAAACTATGTTATCATCATAAGTTATTCTCTTCTTTTGCTATCTTCTCTATGTAAAAAAGGACTGTAATTATAAGTTTTTTTTGTTAGCTCATTCATTTACAAAATCAATCATAGAATCTACTAGAGGAACGATCTCACTGATTACGAGACATGACTTGTGACCATGGTCATTCAAACATCTGTGCTTTGGCCCATACAAGCAACACCTGCAGTTGCAAATTTTTACGAATCATATTATCCAAACCATTAGTATTTCCGTGACACCATGTTTCACAAGTTCACTTGATGCTCATACAAGCCTTAGTACTGCTACTGCCATCCCTGTTAGAGCTCTGAAAGTATATCTCTAGAAAACTTTTATCCACGCTACCGATTATTTCCTCATCCTTCAGACCCACCATGCTTGCATGCTTGCTAATGTAAATAACTGTGTCCTTCAATTGATTGGCTGCCCAAGAGAGCCTGACCAGCTGAAAACCGATGCCGATGCTTAACAGTTTCGAAGCACAGAAGGGCACCCTCCCGTCAGCTACCCTGCAGATGACGGAAAAATTGACGAAGAGAATGTATTGATAATTCTAAGAAAATAAGTAGTGAGATTTATAATTTTGATGGTAAATTTAACAGCATAGGTTATGAAATTCTTCTTAAAGAATAAACCCTTAAAATTAAGAATGAATAATATACAAATTAAAAAATATATATATGAAAATTAAATAAATAAAAACAAAAGAATTTAAAAAATTACCTTAATGGATGATGTCTATATGCTAAAAAACTTTTTTGGTAATTATGATTTTGAATTAGAATAGTATTTAAATTTAAAAAAATTAGGATAAAGACATTAAAAAAGAGAGAGATACCATAAGCTAATTTTTTCTTTTATGTTTCTAATTTTTTTAAATTATTAAATGAAACATATATTATAACACTTAATTAAAAAGATGACATGGATGTCTGAATGGTAAAACTATTTTTTTTATATATAAATAAGATTTAAAATATCTTATTTTAAAAAAAATAGATTAAAAAGTATCTTATTTAGAGAAAAAACTCTAACTCATGGTTAAAAAAAAATATGATTGTATTTATTGAAGAGTAATATAAAATTATTCATTTATTAAATTTTTAAATTTAAATTATTTTTTGATATAATATTAAAATTTTAATTACCGGATAATAATAATGAATATCTGCAAGTTTTAAATAAAAAAATTCAAATAAAAAAAACTCACTTGAGCATAAACCTTGGAGGAGTAGTTGACATAAAATATGGAAATTAGTTAATTTTATTTCACAAAGTCAAAAACGACAAGACGTCATAGTGAAATCATTAATATATAATATAGAACACAGAAAAAACTAACGATGCAATGGCCGTCTAGCGGTAGAATTGAATCCGGTCGCGGTACAGACCAGCGTTCGATTTTCCGTGTGGTGCAGACAAGAGCAATGACGAAAGCTTTGCCAAAGCGATTGTAGGGTCAATAGCAAGCATCTGAATCCTTGATGACACGTGGCAACGCTGAGCTCTATTATTTTTTCTACCACACTTTTTTCCTTTTCTTTTTGCCCGTAAATAAAATTACATTCTTTCTTTTTGCACGTAAATAAAATTACATAAATTCAATAAACGAAAGGCAAATTATATGAGAAAAATAAATTGAGCAATTCTGCATATGTTGTGTTTTGTGAAAGAATGAAATTAAAGTGAATCAAATAAATAATTTCTTACTTTCATCTTCTTGATATTTATTTAATGATGTACAAAAACAGTATTTCAAAGTCGATTAATTTTTTAAAATTATTTTACTTATGTTTTTATTTTAAATTAATATAAACAAATAAATATTTAAACAATGTGATGCGATGATTATTTATTTTTGTTGGATCTCACAATAATACGATATTTTTCCAATACTAAGCTTAAAATTTATATAGTTGATTTTGAATCCTTTTCTTTCCTTTTTCTTTTTCAGCCTCTACATTTATGTTTTTTTTTTAGTCATTATTATAAAAGTGAATAGCTCGATTAGATAGAAATAGAATGATCAATTAGAGAAAGAAAAAAACTGATTAGATTTGAATCTAAATATGTTGAAAGAAAAATAAAATACAATCTAAATATAATCATGTTCTGACGATTATAATCAAAAGATCAAAGATATATAATAATCAAAATAAATTATAGATTTTTTTTTACTTTTTGGATAATTATTTAAAATTAACATACTTCATATAAATATATTTCGATAAAATGTAATATGTCATTAAATTATCCCAAACCCCATTAAGGAAAATCTTTTATTCCTTATTTCTTTTAAAATTAACAGACATTGAAAAATTTTCTAGCTACGTCATTAAGCTTTTCTTTCTTCCTTTATCATGTCACTAAAGCTTTCTTGTGCCGGAAACAACATGTTTTACCAATGCCATGATTAAAAACATTCAAGATGGCGTTGGAAGAAATTATTTATAAATTGCCCAAGAATGACATGCTATATTGATTTTATAATAAAAGTGCAGAAAGCAATCAACTCAGACTAATAGTCCGTGGTGCTGAATCATCTTGCCATTGCCCAATGAATTACGCCCAAGTGATGGTAGGGTCTATCACAATCATCTGATAAAAGGATGATGCAGGCGTGGCTGAGCTCTTTCATCTTTAATTATTATCATTTTTTCTTTTTCTTTTTTTGGTGTTCGTACCTCCTAGTACCTACAAAAGATTCAGGTACAGAGCAATTTGGCGATTTGTGAAAGAGCCAGTAATTCTTTACATAGATGCTAAACATTAGTCATCTATATATATATATATATAAAGCATAAACCATTCACACATTTTCCATGGTAAGTGCGAACATTTAGCACTACAGGCACCCACAACTACTTAAGCCTGTTTCTTTTGTCACATCTATTCTGAGAAAAGGGGGAAGAAGTAGAGAAAACTGCATCTCTACAGAAAGACTACGAAACCATTTCCTCTAAGACTTCCATAGATAATAATTAAAAAAATAGACAATTTACACTTGCATCGCGGAACAAGAACTACATGGTATAATACACTGAGATTTACTTTGTCGCTCTTATCAAAAGCACATGATTCATCTACGGAAGATGCTCTACTCTAAAAACTTGATTTCTATGCTTCTTCACTACCACTTTGACTGTCAGCCTTGAGAATGTTGAACTTGCAGAGAGGGCAGGTTGCATTGATGCAAAGCCATTTGTCTATGCACATACAATGGAAATGGTGATTGCAAGGAAGTTCACGCAGTTCACTTCCATCTTCATAGGCAGAAAGGCAAATGCAACATTCCTGTGATTTAGAGCAAATATTCATGTCAGAAGTGAATCAAGGATAAAGAGCTGAAAATGGGAAACCAACCCCTATTTGAAGTAACCATATCATTTAAGAGAGGGAGACCATGTGAGGTTGCAAATTCAGATACAGCCATGAGTTTTTTGTTTTTCCTCCCCCGAGCTATGACTTGTATAGAAAAGGGAATCTGATCAGGAATTAAATGGAAGGTGACTTATGTCCCTTTCACAGTTCAATGCAGGGGTGCGAGTCACCCCCTGAAACAGTCGGGAACCAATTCTTCTTGTTTTCCTGTTCAATTCACCTCATCAACCCAATAACTACCCAACCCACCCCAGCCTTTTACCATTAGAGGCTTTGAGCTATAGGCCCCGAAGCCAACAGTGAAAAGTTGTATCAAAGAGAAAATACATTTCTAAAAGAAACAAAACTAATTTTCTGTTGGGATTCTTACTGCATCTTCATGGGAGAGAGAACGTTCAATGGGGGTGTCTGTGTCACATTCAGTCATCATCCCTCCAAAAGATTCCTGAATTTCACCATTAACATTCTCATAATCCCCTGTCCTGTGAAACTTGTATTTTAGCAATTGATCAATCTCTTCTCTACTTGCTCCTTCCTGTTTTCAATTTGTAAGGCAATGCAAGATTAGGCATAAAATATTGAAGCACAAGGAACAACGATGCATTTAATGAATGAAATGCAAACAGAAATGACAGCAGAACTTTGTATATAGGTTGGCTGATGCCTCCTGAATCTGAACAAACAGATCAGATGACCAAAAACAATTAGCAAGTAAAGCCATTGCTCAGTACACATAGCATACGTGACAACTCAAAATTTAATACACCTACATCACATCACCATAAAAAAAAAAAAAAAAAAAAAAGCACCTATTGCTTTAAGACAACAACTATGTCCTCACACATGTCTATGTCACTCTCTAGACATGAGGTCTTCGATGGGGCATCGATTCTAACCTTCGTTCAATAAGATAATTCATACGAATTATTCCCAATTCAAATGGGCAATGATTCCAGTTAATTTTAAAGATCACACAAAATAACAAATGAAAAATGGTATAAAGAGGAAAAGTCCTGAATCTACACTGTCCTCCAAATTAAGCAACGATGCAGCTTAATTTGACATTATTCATACAAAATATCACCATCTTAATGAGCGGTGATCTGTGTTGTTGTTACTTCTTCAAGCCAACCCACCAGATAATAAGGTTTTGCAGGTTGGCACAGCAAATGTTCATTCTTCTCAACCTTTGATCAATGGTGTCCTACTGCTCCAGCTGTCCATCCAATTAGAATTCTGCATGTTTGGATCAATAGGGTCCAACCTTACAGGTTCGTCAAAGGGACAAAGTATTAAAAGGTCATGATGAAGTATTAAGAGGTCTTTCATCAAAGGTTGAGAAGAATGAGCAAGGATAAAGATTCATGACTTATCATCGTTTAAAGGGAGCTTGGGGGATTTTTGAAACATTGAAGATAGTAGTAGAAATCATCCACCAGGGCTTGTGAACTGGAGAGGGAGCTCAACCTTGTATGATTTTAAAGCACCAAACTTTATCTAATTTGTATTTACAAAGAGAAGACAGTTTTCCAAGTCCTAGACTGCAAAACTATGATGTCAAGTAATAGCTGGTAAACAATATTCCTCTTCTAATTTCTAGCTCCTGATTGACTTAGCTATTGCACGGGCAGTACACTTACTAAAAAATTTTGTTTGCTTTATTTTTACCTGGTCTGCCATAGCATATAAGATGCCAATTATACATGGAAGGCAGCAGCAAACAGCAATACCAATGAGGCATGCAACGGCAATGCAAATAATTAAAAAGAGCGCGTCAACAGCAAGAAATGTAATACAAAGCCTGCAAAACAAACAATAACTAAACCAATAAACATAACTATTAAAAAGAAAGTAAAAGTATGAAAGACATGAGATAAAGCATTATTCGAGCAAAATTTGTTCAAACAAACCAGTAAAGCTGAGGTGAATCCTCTGCCAAATTATGGCGACCAGCAGTAGTAACCCAGTAGAATCCGATAATCCACCAAATAATTGAAAATGTCGCACTTGCAGATTCCACACGCTTGGCAACACTGCAAGAATAGAGCATAAGCATTCCCATGTCTATAAATTCATAAAATCCATGGGCTTAAAAAAGATCTTCACATTCCAATCCAAAACAAGTCGTCAAATGCACCACTGTAAGCAACTTATAAGGAATAAAAAAGTTCTTCATTTCTTGTTCTTGCAAGATTGTTCTCAAATTCACAAAACAACAAGAATCCAAAATTCAACTCGCCAATTCCGAACCTAACTCAATAAACAATAAAGCTCAAAACTTGCACATGGCAAACCATGCAAACAACATATAAATCAACAACTACACCAAAAACAAAAAAACAAACGATAAAGGCAAACTTTTCAAGCAAAACAAGTAACACCCACCTAATTAAAATTTCATTTCAACGAAACAAACCTTTCGTCCTATTTTCCACAAACAAAACACACCCACAAACAAAACAATAACAAATAACGAAAGGTTACCTCGTATTTTCACCATCATTTCCACTTTGTTGAGTCTCAAAATCCAAAGAATTCCCTGACCCAGAACTCAAAATCCCACTCTCTCTAAACCCCGAATTACTTCTCGTTCTGTATTCAACAACAACACAGACAACATGACACGAACACAACAAAATATACGCAGCAATCCACTCTCTTAAAGGCACATTTGGTTTCTCCTCCAAACTTAACCCCAAAACACCAACAGCTATTATCACAAACGCCAAATTCCACAGAACATCAATAACAACTACCGGCTTCGAGTATCCCCAGTCACTTTGCCTCTCTTCGAGCTGCTCTGCTGCATTTTCACGAACACGAACAGAGGGTTCTCGGAGCATCATTCGGCGGCTGCTAGCCCGACGGAGTATACGGGCAGCAGCACCGCGAAGTTGTGGTGGACGGCGTAACAGACGGCGGCTCCGGAGGAGGTGGTTGGCTATTGAATGAGTTAGGAGTGGTGAAGAGTCTACGGCCTCGGATTGTTGTGTTGTGAGTGAACCATTTGGAGGGTGCATTTTCTTTATTTCTTTCTTTCCCTCTCTGTGTAATCTGAAGGGGTTTTTTTTAATAATTGGTGGGATTTTAAATTAAACGTGTAGTAATTTTAACAAGCTTTTGAATTTTGCAGGGTTGAAAATTTTAGGGAGTTTCTGGGTTAGAAGATTTGTTTAGTTTGGCTGTGTCTTATGATGTTTTTGGTGTTTGAAATTTTTGAGGGAATGAGTGAATGATGAGGATTGAGGACATTCCAAGTTTTGAATATTTGGAGATAGACAGAGCGCGTGCGGGACGACACAAGACAAGACAGGGTAATTATAGCCAGCGGGATAACGAGTGAAAAGGATCGCTAGACTCTAGCGACCTGTTAAGGCAGTGTTTGGATTTGTAGTTTTTGCTCACATCACCAAACAACTACTTCTCAGTTTATTCTTTATTAATTTACAAAAAAGGGCTGGGCAAGAGATATTGGACGGAAAAAGGTCCTTCCACCGAGGAACTAATGGCAAATCTTGAATTTGGAACGACAGATTCAATGCATTCTTATTATTATTTTTTTATAATGGAGTGAATTCCTAATGGATTCTTGCGAAACGCGACTAGACTCGTGGCGTTTTTTTCTATCATAAAGGGCAATTGCTCTCCCCAGAAACGTATCAGGAGCATGTCAACCGATGTATAAGTACTCGGTCCTGTATCCCATAGTTGCCTAATACAAGCCATTCGCTGATCGGAGCTTTTATAATCTTTATTTAAATTTAAATTCATAAAGATAATATGAAAACAAATACATATAAGCATTGTGGACCTTTCAGAAAAATAATTTAATGGGAATTAAAGTTATATTTAGCAGGAGATCAATGGAGGTTAATCTTATCCTCCAACTCTTAATTATTGCCTCTCCATGCTCTCTCACTTCCTTTTTATCTCATACACTAATAATCTTTTAGTAATGTTATATAAACAACTTTTTTTATAGAAATATATGGGGTATTTACTTTTTTTCCTAAAAAAAAAAATTTAAGATTCACATTTTTTCAATTATGTATTAACACATCAGCTTTCGTAAAAAATAAATAATATGAAAACTTTGTAAATCATTTTTTATACACACCCCCAAATAATTTATCTTGTAACTTATTAACATTCTAAACATCCTTAAAACAATCATTATTTTTTATCAATAGTCATTTGTCTAATAATATTGAGTTTATTCTACGTTAAGAGATTGAGTTTATTTTGTTTGAAAAAAATATATAGATTCAAATCATATATGAGGTATTTACTTTTTTTTCCTCAAAAAAAATAATAATTTAAGATTCACGATATTTACATTTTTTCAATTAGTATGGAACCTTTGTAAATCGCATTTCATAAATTCACCCCGAATAATTTATCTTGTAATTTATTAACATTCTAAACATCCTTAAAACAATCATTATCCTTTATCAATAGTCATTTGTCTATTAGTATTGAGTTTATCCTACTTTAAGAGATTGAGTTTATTTTGTTTATAAAAAATTATAGATTCAAATCCTATATTTAAAGTATTTGAATTTAAAAAGTATGTCATTATAAAAAGGATTGGAATAATTTCTTATCTTTATAGTGGTTATCAATCAATTTATCTCTATGACTTTTTTTTTTGTTCGCACCAACTACTAACTTTCTAATTATCTCATCACTAATTATAAATTGCAGAATTCTATCTATGACAATAAAAAAACACACACACACCTTGTACCTTTGAAAAATATTCTTATAATAATCCACAGGCTATCCAAATGTACATCATCAGAAAACAAAAATGAAAAGATGCGATTAATCATTAGGGACAGAACAAAGAATCGGGTCTTCTTGTACCTTTGTTTTATGGCAGGACATTGACTTGGCTATTTCTTGGCTGAGAAATTAGTTTAGGTGTTGTAGGAATTCGCTCAAAGCACCACAACATCCACATTTCGTCACAGTTGAGATCAAACGTTAGATAACCTTCAGTCAAGCGTGTGACCGTCCAGACAATGGCTGTGAAACTAAATATTGGTCATTGATCGACAAGATTTGTATTTAATTTCGAATAATAACAGAGATCAAATTTCAATTGGCATTCAATCAAAGAAGAACTAATCCTCCAAATCTTTATGCTGATATATTCGACATAACATGAAATGTAGTGAATTACTTTTGGCATTGATAGAATTACATTAGTTTAGATCTATATTCCAAGCTGATTGTCTTTTACTGTAGTTATTGTTGTCGTCGTTGGTTTTGGTTATGAAAAGATGATTGATAACCATTGCTGTTTTGGTTGAAATATTAAAATGATAGAAAAAGAAGAAGAAGAAGAAGAATTATTTAATTACCATTTGCTTACATGTACACATATAATTTATAAAAAAACAAAAAAAATCATTTGTTTGTTTTCAGTTATTGTCAAATAATACGACGAAGTTGAAACGTCAAAAGCATTTTATAGTTTATTTTTTTACGCTGTCTTAAAAGCATTTAGAAATTTAGCTGTTAGTTATTAGTTTTTCTTTTTAACTATTAAGATATCATTGGATTAGTTTCAGCCTATTAAGATTAGGTTTTTTTTCAAAATTTTGTTTTAGACCAAACAATCCCATGTAGGCTGTAAATTTTTTTCTCTCATAATCATGTTCTAGATTGAAATATAAGACAATGATAGGGGTAACGTCAAAAAAAGTTTCTCTTTTTGCTACAAAAGAGTTGAATTACAGCTAATGGCTCTAAAAGTAGTTTAAATCTAGTAGAAGGTTCAAAATTTGGCCAATGAGGCGAGTATCCTAGTTTAGCTACAAACGCAAGTACTGTAAATCAAAGTGAGGTGTCGTTTTTGACGTGTGAACAGGCGATTATGATTGTTTGTTGTCCACTTGCATCAACACGATGAGCATGGCATGAAAGCTGCGTAAACAAGAATAAAAGGATGAGAATGAAAATACAAAAATCGAAATAATATTTATATTTTAATATTGTGTTTCGAATACTAATAAAAAATTAAAATATAATTTAAATTTTTTAATATCTGATTTTGTATATAAACATAAATAATAATTAAAAAATAATTTTATTAAATTATAATAGTTATAAAAATAATAAAGATGATAGTAGTGATTGTGGTGTTTCTAGTAATGATGGTGGTGATAATAATTGCGATAGCGATAGTGGTTGTAATTGTGATAATGATATTTGTGATGGTGGTGATGATTGTGATGACGTTAGCAGTGTTAGTGGTTGTGGTGGCGATGGTGATGATGGTGGTTATGATGGTGGTTGTGGTTGTAGTGGTGGTGATTGTGATGAAGATAGTGGTAATGATGGTTGTGGTTATGGTTGTTGTAATAGTGTTGGTGGTGGTTGTGGTTGTTGTGGTGGTGATGATGGCAAAAGTAGTTAATAGATAATAAATAAATAAAATATATTATTATTTTGAAAAAAAATTCATTCTCATTCCCACTCTTCATTCTCATTCTCACTTCATTCCTTTTAACCAAACGATTCTGATGTGGGAATAAAACTTACATTTTCATTCCTACCACTCTATTCCCGATTATCAAACAACGATCCAAATTTAATTTAAATGGGTTTTGCCTATATATAGAGTACATGTACTTTTTAAATTATTTTAATTAAGATATTGTATTTTTTATATTAATTGAGTTTGTTTATTCTTTATTTTGTTTTCATCTTTCTTTATGATATCGTTATTTTCTAAATTGACGAGATACTTCTATTCTCAAATGCATGATACCTTTTATGCCTAGTACTCTAATAAAAAAAACTCAATAGGAATTAAATTAATTTTTTCTTTTCTAATTTCAAATTTTTTTAAGATCTCATTTTGAATATTGCGAAACGTATCATTTATTGGATTGGATCCTGTCACAACAAAACAATACAAAATTATTATTTTTAATTATTATAATAAAATACATACAAAACAAAACAAATTTAATATGCAATTAAAAAATATATAACTATATTTATCAAATTTTTTAAAAAAAACAAAAATAATGTTAACTAGTAACTAATTATCTATATAAAAAAAAAGAAAACATGGTAAAGTCTTTAGTTTCTTTAGGGAGCAACTTTATTTTTTATTTTAAATTTGTCAAATATTCAAATTTATTTTTTTTTTCTGGAGGATTAAACCCATTAACTAAGAATCTATAAGTAATTAATATTGCACATCATCATATTTTTGTTTTAATAATTGCATAATAAATTTGTTTTTGAGGTATTTTTTTCTTATTTTAATTGATTATAACATTTTCTTAAAAAATATTTTATAATTTTATTGTGATCGAGTCTCACCTATCATGACACATTTCATGCATTGAGGATGAGATTAAAAAAAAATTAAAAAACAATAAATAGATCTTTGTATTTTTTTAAATTGTATTGATTAAATTTTAATTGATTTTTTTTATTAGCGTTCTACACATGACACATATCATGTATTCGAAAATGAATACACCAAATTAGCTCACGAATTGCTTTGAAACAGAAGGACATAAACAAAATAAAAAAATAAAAATAAAGGGGCTCAATCATTACAAGAAAAAATAAGATTTTAATCAAAATAATTTAAAAAGTTGAAAGATTATATAATGGGAAAATTTTAAAATTAAATGTAAAAAACCCACACATATTCCTCGCTAATTCTCTTAAAATCACCCAAATTGAGGAGAACCACTTTTCTAGGAGTTATGCTCCACCCATCAAGGTTTTGAAATTTCTCTTGCAATAATTTGCGGAACGTTGTAAAATCAATAGGATTTAGTTATTCAAGAATTGAATAAATCAGGATTCTCTATGATTTATGTAGATCGGGTGGAATCAAATAATTCAATTCTTGACGTGAAGAGAGCATGGAATTAAGTAGATAAAAAAAATGAAAATTTTGGCTTAGTTATGCACTGTTACTTTTCGTGGACATAGAATCTCCCAAGATGAAAAATTGCAATAGGTCGTTAAAATTACAGAAAACTTGAAAGTTTAATTTCTCTCTCTCTCTTTAGATTTTTGGTGCAGTTCTAGTTGAAAACGTCCAGGTTTTTGGGAATAAATTATTTATTAAATGCACAATAGCCGAGGCAGTACAGTTTCTTTTGAGAAAGGCAAATTGTAAATAAATAACGTTATCCTTCCACAGTAGCCGCCAGTTTCAATTCTTGGCAGGTTTATCTTTAAGAGCAATGAAAAAACATGGCCCCATTACGATTCAAGGGTCTATCACGGTCATCTGATTCAAAGATGACACAGGGGTGGCCGAGCTCTTATTTATTTATTTATTTTTATCAATACTGAATCTCCGTACCTCAAAAAGTCAAAAGTGATTTGTCAAAGATACAATGAATACAATTACATGAAGCCTTAAAACTCTTGGAGACTGTTTAGAAAGAAAAAAAGACACTGATATCGCTAAACTACAACCCACAATTACATAAATTGTGAATCAAAATTGCATTACATCAATGTCTAGCTTTGCACACTCTTCATGGATGCTAAACTTCAATCATCTATGCACAGCACAGACCATTTACCCATTTGCTACGGTGAATGCCAATATTTGGTACAGCAAGCTGAGTTTTGGAGGCTAGAAAGTAGTAAGCACCAATCTCTAATCAACTCTGTTTCTTTTGTCACACATATCTGGTGATAAAATGATCGTAGTTCTGAGAGAGATAATTTACACTTATATTATATCAAAGAAGAACTACATGGTTTTATCCAAAAAAAAAAAAAAAACTACTACATGGTATGCTACACTCCGTTGGTCGCTCTTATCAAAAGCGCCAAGTAGATGCTGCTCGAGCAAAAAAGGCCCCATTGACCACATGATTCATCTAGGGAAGATGCTGACTGTCTATGCTTCAGCTCTACCACTTTCACTGTCAGTCTTTACAATGTTGAACTTGCAGAGAGGGCAGGTTGCATTGATGCAAAGCCACTTGTCTATGCACACACAATGGAAATGGTGATTGCAAGGAAGTTCACGCAGTTCACTTCCATCTTCATAGGCAGAAAGGCAAATGCAACATTCCTGCGATTTATAACAAATTTTTAAGTTAGAGGTGAATCGAGGATAAAGAGCTGAAAATGGGGAACCCACTCGACCCCGTAACAGAATGCTGTTCAGTTCGCTTATAGACCTAATAGCTGCCCAATCCAACCCAGCCTTTTACGATTAGAGGGTTTGAGCTAAGGCCACCAAAGCCAACAGTGAAAAGTTGCATGAAAGAGTAAATACATTTCTAGATGACAAAATTAAATTGATGTTGAGATACTCACAGCGTCTTCGTGCGAGAGAGCACGTTCAATGGGTGCGTTGGTGTCACATTCAGTCATCGTCCCTCCACAACTTTCTCGAATTTTACCATCAACTTCCTCAAAATCCTCTATCCTGCAAAACTTGTATTTTGGTAATCGATCAATCTCTTCTGTAGTTGCTCCTTCCTGTTCCCAATTTGAAGGCAATGCAAGATTAGACACAGAACGTTCAAGAGCAAGAGCCAAAGGTGCATTTTGTGAATTAAATGCAAACAGAAATGACAACAGAACTCTGTCCGCAGGTTGGCTGATGCCTTCTAAACAAACAGCTGATGACCTCAGATAATCAGCAATAGACACTAAGGCTTTGCAGGTTGGAGCATCATATTTCCCTTGATCATTCTCCTCAGTCTTTGATCAATGGTGTCCTACTGCTCCAGCTGCCCATCTGATAGGAAGTTATATCTTTTAGGTCTATAGGTTCCCACATTAGGGTTTATCAAAGGGATAAAGTCATGATGGAGCATTAGAAGGTTTTTTATCAAAGGTTGATGAGAAGAATGAGCAAGGGTAAAGAGTCATCATTTATCATGCTTTCAAGGAGTGATTGGAGGATTTTCAGAACATGGAAGACAGTAGCAGAAATCATCTAACAGGGCATTTGAACTGAGGTGGGGCTCAATCTCGTAAGACTTTAAAGCTCAAAGCTTTATCTGATTTATATTTATGACTGAGGAGAGAAGACAATGTTGCAAGAAATAGATAGCGAACAGTATTTCTGTCCCAACTTCTAGATCCTCACAGAATCAGTTGTTGCTTGGCCAGTATGCCTACTAAAAATTTCATTCACTGTATTTTTGTGCCAAAAGATAAACATCCATGAGTATTTTAACCCAGTCAAGTGTTTTAGCCGAAAAAGTCAACCACTTCAAGGCCTACTGCGCAACTATGCTGGACACTTAAACTCAAGACTCAAAGAAAAGTTATAATAAATGCTTCATCTCTGTGTTGTGCACATTGGAAGGGGGAGGGGCAGGGGGGTGGTGGTTGCAAATCCACTGAAGTGCACCAAAAGGAGGCCCAAGGAAAGCAAATTACCTGGTCTGTCATAGCATATAAGATGCCAATTATACATGGAAGGCAGCAGCAAACAGCAATGCCAATAAGGCATGCAGCAGCAACACAAATAATTACAAAGAGCGCGTCGAAAGCAAGAAATGTAATACAGAGCCTGCAAACAAACCAACAACTAAACCGATAAAAAAGAAGGTAAATATAGGGAAGGCGTCAGCTAAAGCACATCAAAGCAACATTTGTTCGAACAAACCAGTAAAGCTGAGATGAATTCTCTTCCAAATTTTGGCGACCAGCGGTAGTAACCCAGTAGAATCCAATAATCCACCAAATAACTGAAAACATCGTACTTGCAGATTCCACACGCTTAGCAACACTGCAAGAATAAAAAATAAGAATTCCATATGTGCAATTTATAAAATCCATGGGCTTAAAATCTTCACATTCGAATCCAAAAAAGCAAAGCATCGTCAAATACACAGCATCTAAGCAACTTATAAAGGGAAAAAAGAAACTCCCCCTTTATTGTTGTGCAAGATTGTTCTCAAATTTCACAAAATAAAAACAATCAAAACACATCCAACAAACAGTGAAACCTCACCTAGTGCCTACACCATCATTTCCACTTTGTTGAGTCCAGAAATCCAAAGAATCCCCTGACCTAGAGCTCAAAATCCCACTTTCTAGAACTCCCAAATTCCTTCTCTTTCTGTACTCCACAACAACACACACAACATGACACAAACACTGCAAACCATACCCGACAATCCACACTCTCAAAGGCACCTTTGGCCTCTCCTGCAAACTTGCCCCCAAAACAGCAACAGCTATTATCACAAACGCCAAATTCCAAAAGACATCAATAACAACTACCGGCTTCGAGTAACCCCAGCCACTTTGCGTCTCTTCAAGCTGCTCTGCTGCATTTTCACGGACACGAACAGAGGGTTCTCTCAGCATCATTCCGCGGCTGCTCGCCATTCGGAGGAGACGGGAGGCAGCGCCTCGAAGTTGTGGTGGACAACGTAACTGACGGCGGCTGCGGAGGAGATGGTTAGCTATTGAGTAGGTTAGTAAGGGTGAGGTATCAAGGCGGCCGGATTGAGGTGATGTTAGTGAACCATCTGGTGGGTACATTTTTGTGTGTGTTTATGATTTGATGAGTCTTCTCTTTTTCTGGTGTGATTTTTGAAGACACGTGAGATTTTGAATCAAGGGAGTGCTAGCTTTTACAAGTCTTTGAATTTGTGCGTTGGTAAATTCTGAGAGACTGAAATTTTTTTTGCTTGAAAGATATAGGGAATTCTGGGTTAGAAAATTTCTGTTTGATTGTCTTAGGATGTCTTTTTGTGTTTGAAACGTTCGAGGGAATGAAGAAACATTCGAGATGGGGACGTGAACCTTTTGATGTTAAAGACAAAGTGAGAGGTTGGGACAGGGCAATTATTTTTGGCGGGATCATGAGCGAAAAGGACGTACCAATACGACAAAGGCTCACTGAATCTGTACTCGCCTCTCTCTAACTCGTGCGCTCACTCCACATGACACGTCCGGCTGCCAGAGACGTGCCATATTTTACTTTCGTGAAGATATATATTAAGCTTTGGTCGAGACAGAGGTGTGGCGGGGAAGACAGAAGAGGAGCTAATGATGGGCCATGACACCCTCGATGTTTGAGAAATTTTATATTTTGGTCTTAAATTTTGAAATCTCTTATCAATAATATCCTTCAATTTAAGATTTATTTTATATAAAAGTACATATTCACCCCCAAATCATGTATTATCTATGCCGTTTTCTTTTGTTATCTTATTTTCAAGTTTAACTTAAAATTTTTACATTGGCCTCCATCCTAAATTTCTAATTATGCTTTTGAATTGAAGTTATGTGCTGGTATGGAAAAACACAAACACTAGGTATGTAACATGTGGTCAGTCCTTCCTTCGTACATAGATTTTATTTTTACTTTAAAAAAAAATTATTATTTATTTATTTATTTATTTTTAAGAAAATGGATTACAAATAGATTGATTATATATACAATAAAAATTTTGTTTTAAAATTTCAGTCTATCCAATTCAATTTAAGTAAAATAACTTATTTTAACACATAACACTTATATCTGACTTTAACAGAAATATTCAATTTTATCCCTAATTTTGTTAAGTACACAAAGCCTGACGCAATTTACCCGAAATAAAGGTCAAGATGCGATTGATTATTTAGGGGATAAAACAAAGAGGTGGGCTTTCTTGTAGCTTTATCTTATGCCTAGAGTCCCGGCCCAAGACATTGCCTTGACCGACGAGGTTAGTTTACGACATAGAGATAGCTTTTTCCAGTTTTTTATTTGTAGATAAGAAATCAGCTTAGGTTTTCTCAGAAAGTGGTTAAAAGCACCGCATCCACGTTTCGGAAGACTCGAGGTCAAATGTTAGGAGGCAACTTTCATCCCAGTGTGTCCAAATATTGACCATCAAGCGACTGTTTCTCGTTGACAATTGATACGCGGGAACAGTAATTGAGTTTAAATATAATTGGCATTAATCAACAGGGAACTAACCCACCAAATCGTAGGCTGATAGACTAGCTCAGCCATCATTGAGGATTAGAATTTTCTCAAAATTTATTGATTATTTTTTTCAATTAAAAATCCGACGTAATAATATAATTAAAAGAAATTCATTTATCACTACCGACCAATTCTTTAAAAATAGTACTAGATGTCAAGTCGAAATCCACTAAAGAATAAAAAGCCTTTTAAGATTTTACGAATCAGACGAGTATGCTAGTTGGCTGCAAAAGAGAGTGGTATTAAAAAAAAAAAATAGAGTGACCAGTCGTTTCTCTGACGTGTAAACAATCGATTATGATTGTCTGTGGTCCCCTTGTAACAAAATGAAAATAAGTGTTTTTTTTTTTTCAAACAAGGTATTTTTAAAACTTATTCTCTAAATAAGTTATTTTTAATTATTTAAACATGATATTTTTTCCACATGTGCATTAAATTAAAAATAACTAATATGATGCAGTTTTTTATTTAGTCCAAATAATTGACCATTACTATTGCCTCAGTATTTGAAGTTATCTAGAATATTTTATATTTTAAAAAATGCTAAAAAGGTCTAATCATTTATACATTTTAAATTATTTGAAATTGAGTACTAAAACTTTTTTTATTGGTTCTATAAATCTCTAAACTTTTAAAATTAAGTTCACTTAATATGTTTTTGTCAAAAATAATAAAGTTTTACACGTGAAATTCACGTAGTTTACTTTTCTATAATAAAATCTAAACTAATTTATCTTGTTTTCATGAACAAATTAATTAATCCATCTCATTTTAAAAACTAATTATTTGATCTTGTACATTTAAATTTACTAATAACTTAGTTTTTTTTTCTTTATTTATTTATTTTAAATTGTTGTTTCAAGAAATAGAAAAAGGAAAAAAAATTATAGAAAGATTGATGAGAAAAGAAAACAATTTGTCAAATAAAAATAATATTAAATTGATCAAGATTAATACTCGTCAAAAGACTAAATAATAATAAATATTATTTTTTAAAATGAGAAGATTAATTAATTCGTTTCTCAAAACAAGAGGGACTAATTTATAATTTACTCGACTTGTCTACTTGTAAAAAAAAAAACAGAAAAAAAAAAAAAAAAAACTCTTAAATCCATCCAGCAAAACATAGAATATGTGTATTACAGACAACCAAATTATTTCTCCTAAGAAAGGGTTAGAAAATCAAAATACTGGTTGGAGGCTAGTTTCAAGAAATCAAAGCATAGGTAAGGAATTGCCGTATGGACACTTGTTTCATTAGATGTGCATATTGCCATGGATAAAGAAGTCCAATACTTCCCTGTGTAGTAAGTTTCAGTTTCCCGCTGAAAATATATTTTGCAAGATCAAACGATTGTGGACTGTTGTGATCAAGACTAGTGATGAGACCTTTAATGAGGAAGCACTTAAAGGATTTTCATCGTGGCTGTAGTGTGGACGTAATAGAATCACAAGAACTTATTAACCTGTAGTGAATTAGGAAGGCAAGGAAATAGGAGAGGAAGAAGAGGCAGTAACAACAACCTTCAAAGAAGGCTGATGAAGACAATGTTCTTGGATATTATAGTTGGTGCTGGTGCTGAGAGTTTAGGTTTCAGTTTTGAAGTAGAATTAAGCGAGGATGTGCTTGTGTATTGTACTCAAAATCATTGGAGATCAAATTGGTATTTTTTGGGTTTGACAACCAGGATTATTGCAAGAAAACAACCATAATTATAATGGCAATAAAGAAGAAGAGAAAGAGACATCAATAATAACCTTTGGAGGAGGCTAATTAATATGATGTTGCTATGTAGTATAAGTGGTGGCGGTGCTGATGGTTTTGATTTGAAGGCAGTATTTTGTGGTTGCAATGATATTGTTGATAGGTTTTCATCGTTATTGAGATTACTGTTAGGTGGTTTTTTCATTAATTATGTGACTTACATATACACATTTATGTTATTCCTAAAATAAAAATATTAGATGGACTTAAATTTAAAAATTCTAAAATTTAAAGATTTTCATAATTAATGAAAAGTTCAAGAACTCAATCTAAAATGACTTGAAGTTCAAGAGTGGTTAGTCTATTTAAGTCTTTAAATAATATAAAGCTATAGCCAAAAAATATCTAGCAAAACTCTCATTAACTCGCGTTTTTTCTTGAGAAAACTAAACATCAAGCTATTTTTTAGGCTCTTGTCAGCAAAAATGGTCGATGACAACTTTCTTTTCTCCTATTTTCTACTTAAAATTCTTTTATCTTGTCAAATCTTTTTTCTTTTAATTTTTTTTAATCTCCTTTTCTAGCCGCCATGACGACCCCCCTCCACACACATATACATTTTCCTTTTTAGTCTCTTTCCTTTGCTTTCTCCCTTCACCCATTCTTTCTTTACCCTTTTTTATTTCTTTTTACTCTCATCGAGTTATCATTTTTCTCTCTATTCTTAAAATCTCAGCCTCATATATGGATTTTACTAGAATATGAATCGTTTTAGCAATCAAACAAATTATAGAAATTTGAATCACTTTTTAAAAATTAAAATAGTTTTTTGTAACTATTTTAATTTTTTAGAACTTGAAGCAACTTTTCTAAAATATACCTTTAGTTTTTCAGAAAATTGAGTAATTTTCTACAATTACTTAATGCTAAGTTAAGGTTTTTTTCTTCTTCAATTGATTATATGTTGTTTGGGATTTGAGGTTTTACGTGGTATTAACATTTTTTATTTATTTTCTTTTAACATTATTTTAAAAAGAATTATTTAAGAAGCTTAAACTAAAGTATTTTTTGGGATTTATAAAAAAGCATTCGGTGTCACTTGAAAAAATACTGCCTATTTGGCATCTAAAGTATTTTGTTTAGTGATTTAGTGCTTAGATGGCAAAAAAATGTCTCATTTTGATAATTAAGTTTAAACCAACCCGCCAACCCCCACCACTCCCACCCCCCCGGCGGACAAATAAGTTTTGAAATTATCCTTCTTCTAAAGAAACTCTGAAAGTAATGCCACGAAAGCTCCACGACAAAACACGCGACTTTAAAAATAAATGCCGCCGTTAACCTCCGTACAAAACCAACCCGTTTCCCCCGCCTGTTCTCTTCATGTGATTTAAAATCACCCAAATTAAGAACCGTAGTTTTGGCGGTTATGCAAAAATCAAGATTTTTAAATTTCTCTCGCGATTATTTACACAGTGTTGCAAAATCAAATGGATTTAGTTATACAAGACTTGAATCAAACAGGTTTCTCAATGACTTATCGAAATTCGGTCGTATTGATGATGCACGGAAATTGTTTGATAAAATGCTTGAGAGAGATGAGTTTTCATGGAACACAATGGTTGCTGGTTATGCTAATTCAGGGAGATTTAATGAAGCTAAAAAATTGTTCTATGAGACTCCATTGAAGAGTTCAATTACTTGGACAAGCCTTGTATCGGGGTACTGTAAATATGGTTTCGAACATGAAGCTTTTGAATTGTTTTGGCAAATGCAGTTTGAAGGACAAAGGCCAAGTCAATACACGTTAGCTAGTGTCCTTGGCTTGTGTTCACAAAAGGGTTTGCTTCAAAAGGGGCAAAGAATTCATGGGTACGCGATAAAGACTTGGTTTGATGGGAATGTTTTTGTTGTTACTAGTTTAGTTGACATGTATGGGAAGTGTGAGTGTGTTTATGACGCTGAGTGTCTTTTTCAAATGGTGGCTGATTGCAAATATAATGCAGTCTGGACTGCTATGCTTACTGGGTATTCTCATAATGGATACGGGTTTAAAGTGATCGATTGTTTTCGGAACATGAGAGTTGAAGGGGTTGAGTCTAATCAGTTTACTTTTCCCAGTATTTTGACAGCTTGCGGAGCAGTTTTGGCACGTGATTTTGGGTCTCAAGTGCATGGTTGCATAGTGAGGACCGGTTTCGGTGCTAACATTTTTGTTCAGAGTGCATTGGTTGATATGTATGCAAAATGCAGGGACTTGAATAGTGCAAAGAGGGTGTTAAAGAATATGGAGTTTGATGATGAGGTTTCGTGGAACTCCATGATTTTGGGGTGTGTGAGGCAGGGGCTTGGAGAGGAGGCTTTATCTTTGTTCCAAAAAATGCATTCTAGAAACATGAAGATTGACGAATATACATTACCATCTGTGTTGAACTCTATTGCATCCTTGAAGGTTATGCAAACTGCAATTTCTGTCCATTGTTTGATCATCAAAACTGGCTTTGGGGCATATAAGCTCATCAACAATGCACTTATTGACATGTATGCCAAACAGGGAAAGTTAGACCGTGCAATCATGGTGTTCAACAAGATGGTAAATAAGGATGTAGTCTCTTGGACCTCCCTGGTTACAGGATACTCGCATAATGGCTTTTATGAAGAAGCTATCAAGTTATTTTGCGAAATGAGAATTGCAGCTGTATATCCTGACCGAATTGCTCTTGCCAGCGTTTTGAGTGCTTGTGCAGAACTGACAGTTATGGACTTTGGGCAACAAGTTCATGCTACCCTTGTAAAATCCGGTCTTGGGTCATCCTTACCAGTTGATAATTCTCTAGTGACAATGTATGCTAAATGTGGTAGCATAGGAGATGCCAATCGTGTTTTCGACAGTATGTCAACTCGGGATGTCATCAGCTGGACATCTCTAATAGTTGGATACGCACAAAATGGTAGAGGAAAGGATTCTCTACAGTTTTATGATCAAATGATTGCCACTGGAACAAAGCCAGACTTCATCACGTTTATAGGTTTACTTTTTGCTTGCAGCCATAATGGTCTTTTGGAAAGTGCTCGTGCTTACTTTGAATCAATGGATAAAGTATATGGGATCAAACCAGGTCCCGAACACTATGCGTGTATGATTGACCTCTTGGGACGCTCAGGAAAACTTGCTGAGGCCAAAGAATTACTGAATCAAATGGTTGTAGCACCAGATGCAGTAGTGTGGAAGGCCCTGCTTGCTGCATGCAGGGTGCATAAGGAGTTGGAATTGGGAGAGAGGGCAGCGAAAAGCCTCTTTGAATTGGAACCCATGAACTCCATGCCTTACGTTATGTTATCTAATATGTATTCCACTGCTGGTAGATGGGAAGATGCTGCAAGAATCAGAAGACTGATGAAATCCAGAGGAATTAGTAAAGAGCCCGGGTGCAGTTGGATGGAGACAAACAGCAAAGTTTACACCTTTATGTCTGAAGATAGAGGCCATCCAATGAGAACTGAGATTTATTCAAAGATCGATGAAATCATAATGTTGATCAAGGAGGCTGGTTATGTGCCGGACGTGAATTTTGCACTTCATGACACTGATGAAGAGGTTAAGGAGCTTGGTCTAGCTTATCATAGCGAGAAGCTGGCTGTTGCCTTCGGGCTTCTCACTGTGCCACAGGGAGCACCAATTCGTATTTTCAAGAATCTTCGTGTTTGCGGAGACTGCCATACTGCTATGAAATACATATCCAATGTATATGTTCGTCATATCATTTTGAGGGATTCAAATTGTTTCCATCATTTCATTGAAGGAAAATGCTCTTGTGGAGACTATTGGTAGGAGACTATTGCTCATATATTAATTGCTCCCCATGGCTTTTTGAGGGGTTTTAAATCCTATGGACGGCTCTCCTAGTTTGTCCGTGTTTGCAAGATTTAGCCTTCAGCGCATGCACAGATGCACCACCTCGAAGGTTGATGCTTAGGGTCGATTGATTTTGTGGACTAATTAGACGAAGTACTTCAAAAACTCAAAAAAGTTTTTAACACATCGTTAATTTCAGAACTCGAACCAAGTAGGAACAGGCTTCAATTCAGCAAACTGCAGCCACTGGGTGCCCTACCACCACCTATCTGTCCAGGTTTCTGAGATCGTGAAGGCATCACCAAGGACAGACCTACATTCCACTAGGTACCCTACCACAACTATACGTCCAAGCTTCTGAGATCGCATAGCAATCATAAAGGACAGACCTACATTAGAGTCCAACGCAAAAACAAACCATCGCTTGAGAAGTAAACCCAAGGAACGATCAAAATTGATCGAAAACAAGCATTGCAAAAAGATACCATGAAATTCTCATAAACTTAAATTTCTTTGTAACACAGAAGGTAAGCAGGAAAAGTATACACTAAGAAATTCTAATTCATCTAAATCATCCATTCAGTTAATTTCTCAACAAATACCGGCAAACTATACACCGGGACATGGAATGGTAAACACAACTCTATCTTTCACACAATGAGGCATACAACACACCACATTCTAAATAAATAAAATGTTGGAACCCTGTTGCCATGCGATCCTGCTCCCATCAGATAATTCTGTCTTCAAGCTCTCCATCCAAAATCTTTGCATAGCCTACGCACCAGCCATTACTTTGTCTATCACCCCTTGCCATAACTATGAGGTGAAGGTTGAAAAATTAATTTGGTCTGAACTATTGGAGCAGGCAGGGTGCTTGCCTTGCATGGGTGGCTAAGCATTTAAAATTTAGTTGCATTGATTTGGCTACAAACCCAACCACCTAGCCTTCGTCAATTTTCTTTTCTTGCATGCTCTGGAATGAGACGTTGTCGCAGTTCAGCAGATGCCCCAGCCAACTCTGCAAGGGCATTTGGCATGAGAAATGCAAAGAGAATCTTTAGCAAAAAATACTAGACGAAAAACTATATTAGCTTACCTTGGGCAGTAAAATTGAATACAGGAGGTAGTGCACGCCCATTAGGCAAGCATGCATTTGCATCTCTCAAATCATCAAAGAAGGGGTGAGCACATGCCTCCAACTAACAGCCGATAAAGAGAAAAATAAATTACTACACTTCTCACCCATCACAAATCAAAAGTTCTATCAAAAACACTGTATGGCGTGATCAGCAATTCAAGAAGGCCAAAAGCTATCAAACTAAACAAGAATTAGATACAAAAGATAACATTTAATGGTTTAGAAACTGATCAAATTTATCTAGAGCAGTATAAATGCTTACAGCAGTGCACCGCAGGTTTGGTGAATACTGAAGCAGCCTTGATACAAGATCCACTGCTTCAGGGGGCATTCGTTTGTGAAATATCTGAAATTTGGGAATCAATACGTTACCCACCCATATGAAAACTATGCTATGACAATGAAAAGATCTCCTGATAAAATTTTTTACAGACCTTGTGCCACGGGTGAGCCTTGATCTGAGGGAACTTGAATTCTGTGTAATTGGGATTCATGCACTTAATTTCTTCTCGGGTTGGTGTGCCCAGCACCTAATTTGTGACCATCAAATGGGGAAAATACATCAGAAACTGATCAAACATGTGGAGAAATCTTTTTTTTTAAAAAAAAAAAAGGGTAGGAGATAGCATGGTATACCTTGATAATTTCCACCAGTTGATCAACACCACTTTCCCCAGGAAAAAGCGGCTGCAAAATGTGCAAACATCAAATAAACATCAGAAGTCATCATCTATACAGTAATTTAAAGGAACTGCCACTTGAAGAATGATTCATAGAATCAAAACACAAATAACCTAACAGTCACTGCATCAGACTCAAACAATCAACAGGTAAAGGTAAACAATGGCAAACAAACATTACATGATCGATAAACTCTCCGAATTTCCATAGCCAGAAAGAAATGTGAAATTACAGAGAAGCACTCAAAAGCCAATCAGCAAGTTGCATGAAAGAAAATTACATACATATAATGATGATTAATGAGTGCTCTGGAACATAGTGTTCTAACCACATGCACACCAGGTTGCAATGGAGGGAAAGTGTGGAAATTTCTAACATAAACAGAAAGCCATTTGAAATTATTCTTCAGAATATGCTATTACTTGTAGTCAAGTCTATAATAAGACACTGATAGTAGTATAGAGAGGATCACAAAAGCCATATGGACCCACCTGTCCAAGAAGAAGTTCAGCCAAGACACAACCAACAGACCAGATATCAATCGCAGTTGTGTACTCTGTAGCCCCAAATATAAGTTCCGGTGCCCTATAATACCGTGAGCAAATATAAGATATATTGGGTTCGCCTGGCACCTGAGATAAAAAAGATAATGTCAAAGGTTTCAACACATCACTGGCATGCTTTTCACATCCACTCCAGAAAGTAAGAGAATTAACATACCAGCATCTTTGCGCTACCAAAATCACATATCTTTAGCTGATGGGTATGGGGATTGACCTGCAGAATACACCATAAACTCATGAAGCTATCCTTTAACCACATAAACAACAAAACATCTAAAAGAGAAACATGTTGCTGCTATAAATCTTGCAGAAACTTCCATGATACATATTGCACAAATCACTCTGAGAAGGCATGAAAAGTTGAGGTTATGAGCAGTTGCTTACAAGCCTTTCCTCTTTAAATGGAAAAAAATAAAATAAATGAAGTCTAATAGAAGAAAAGCCAAAAAAAAAGTCCTGGTCTATGACAGGACAATCTCCAGTTTGTCAAATTATTTTGCTAGCAATACAGGCCAATGATTAGGATCTGTAATCTTCAAAACAAAATTCACATAAAGGAAATTAAACTAAATGGGTGAAATTTTCAGATTTTGGTGGTCAAGCAAAGCTGCAGATCAAAAGACTTCTATCATTTTGTCATGTCAATGTCAAAAGGATGGGGAAAAAGGCAGAAAGAAAACTCACCAATAAATTCTGTGGCTTGATGTCACGATGGCACACCCCAACGACATGATGCAAGTAATTTAGTGCACGACAAATCTGCAAGGACATTAAGTAGAAAAACTTAAAACTCATGGAAATAGTGTGCCAGAATTCGCCAAACAAATATCCAGAGCACACCATAGGAATCTCACAGTGCATGCAATATATATATATATATATAAAGCATATTTATGAAGTTTACCTGGTATGTATACAGTTGAACATATATAATGGGCATGTGTTGATGGTTCATCCTGTTAAAGTGCCTTGAAACTCGATGGACAGTTTCGGATATATACTCAAGAACAAGGTTAAGATATAGTTCATCTTTTTCAGTAGTAGAATAGAAACAGTGTTTCAGCAGAACGACATTAGGATGGTCAAGGAGGCGCATGATTTGAAGTTCCCTGTTCTTGTATCTCTTATCCTGCAATACCTTCTTTATTGCAACAGCTTCATCGGTTTCAAGGCATTTAGCCTGCAAAGCAAAATAAAATGTAAAATAACAGAACATAATATTACTAATTTATACATGTTAAAAACTACTCCAACGTGATTGCAAGCAACATGCTGGCTAATTCAGCATACCTGATAGACAACACCAAATGAACCTGTGCCAACCACACGCTCTGCCATATATGAGATTGTCTGGGAAAAAGAACATATATTTAGCATCATGGTCAATGACTGACCCATATTCTGTATAGAAGGAACAGGTAGCCCTCAGGATATAAAATAATTAACGTATGATGTAAAAAAAAAGTTGAGGATCAATAGCATTCAATCTTGAAGGCTTCCATAGGATGGTCATGGGATTGTCAGGCTCGAGAGTTTGGTGGAAAGATATGATGCCTAAACATTACATCTCCACATGCAAGTGGAAATCTGTATTCAGTTATTCTTCTAGACACGAAAAAAAGAAAATCCACTCCTATAATAACAGCCCTGGAAGGGATGTTCCATAAAAAATACATTCATCATGCTCCCTAGATACTACATTAAGAAAAATGAGATTAAACAACAAACCATATAATGCAGCAACATTCAACCAGGGTAATCAAATAACCTGCTTTGGTTGTCCATTCCGACCACCAACTGTGGTTGCAATAACTTGACCAGTTTCTGTCCCGTTGCCACTCACAATGGCAGCTTCCATGTCCTACATAATCAGAAATTCCATGACTCATAGTACATCCAAAGAAACCATAGCACAGCCCATTCTATAAATACATTAGTACTTAGATCTCCCTAATTGTGTTAGGTGTTTAAGGTGGACTAGGGCTGGGTACGGATGAAAATTTACCTTTTCGTCATGATTAGTGTTTTTGTCATCTCTGATCTTCATTTCATGCATCTCTTTTGGAAGCTGATCATAGCTTGATTTTTCTGTTCTTGTCACTGAAATAATGTTGGATGTGCTGGCAGCATTTTCCTGTGATGTAGAAGCCATATGCTGCTCGTGATCTGTGACACTACTTTCAACTAAATACGATTCCCCATCAATCTTTCGTTCTATTTCTTGATCAACCTTAGCCCTCTTTGTTACAGCATCCCCACCCTACGTGAAAGACAACACATTTTCCACAAGAAATTAGATAAATGGCATAGTTGCATTTTTTTCTTCATCTTACAGTTTCACAGGTATAATTCAACCATATATCCCATTCTATCTCACATTTTCTTACCATCTCATATTCCTTTGTGGCAATCAAATTTTTAGTACAATAAATGATTTTAGTGCAAAATGCATTGTCTCGTGAAAATCAACAGATGATCCAAGAAATTACATAAATAAAATAAATACCTAGGCTGTTAATAAGTTCATAAGCTGCGAGCCAATATGGCAACTTGATTATTTAAACACATATATCCAATATTATTGAAACTTCCCTCTAAGTAGAACCAAAATTATTAGACAGCTACAGGCAGGCCAATATGGCAACTTGATTATAAAACATATATCCAATAAACTTCCTTCTAGGCAGAACCGAACTAATTAGAAACTAAAAACAGAAACGACATCCAAAAAACTCAAAATTCAAGGATTTAACTTGATGTTGCACTCTAATTAATGCTTCTTTAAGTGAGCATGTCGAAATACAACCGGGATTCTATTTAGGCAGTTAATCCTTAAGTGCAAATCTATCATAAGATTTCATTGTTAACATCATAAAAGGACACAGCAACTTATGTGAATAACTTTCTTCTAGCGATCCATCTCGTCTTCACCTTTATTTTAAAAAAGGAAAAAGCTGATAAAGATACATATTAACCATATTCAGAAAAGAACCAATAATTGCAACGTGACGTACCACCAACCGCAACAGCAATGCACTACAGAAACACCAACCACTAAACTACAATTTCACCATTGGTATCCAAGTAAACAAATAACATGAATTGGATCCTATAACATTTGTTAAAAATTACGAGCACAATTGTTGCACATTCAAAATAGTACTCACAATAATAGAACCATCATAAATTAATAGTAAAATCCGATGTTACATCTGAGCTACAACATTATGTTAACCGACATCAATCAGCCAACCAATCAAACCTCTTTAAAGGATTAAATGAACATATAGCAAAAATAGGAAAAGCTATAACATATGACCCCACAAGTTAAAACCACATTGAAAGTAAGAAAGCCTAATTCCAACTACTAAACATCATTTCCTTTTATAGTAAGTACAAATTAGACTCAACGCCTCCCACAGAGAGAAAAATGCCATGAAATTTTGAACTTTCAAAAAAAAAAAAAGATCATAACCCAGAAACTGGAATCGATTAAAACTCAATAAAAACAGGTCAAATTCCACAAATAACAAATCCAAAATACATGCAGCAAAGGAAATCAAAGAACAAGAGAAACACGTAATCCCATTTTCAAATTAAGCTCCACAACCAAAACACTATCATCCACAATAAAAAAAATAATAATAATAAAGCAAAGAAGAGCCTTTCTTGACCCAATTAACTCAGAATCCAAAAGGTTGCAAAGAAATTAAAGCTCCTTTTTTTCATTTCTTTACTTCATTTTTTCAGCAACCAAGCAAAGCAAGAATTTTAAAATTAAAAAAAAAAAAAGAAGAAGAAGAAGAAAGATTCAAACTTACAGGATCAGATGATATAGAAGTTCGACCAGAAGCAATGCTCTTTAATCTACGCATCACATTCATGATTTCCTTTCTCTCTTCACCAACAAACAAACCAAACCCTGAATTTCCTTTCAAAAAATCCTAAAATATTCAAAAAAAAAAAAAAAAGAGACACAAAATCAACCTTCTCTCTCCTACAACAAAGAGAGAGGGAGAAATTTGTGAGAGAGAAAGAAGGTAAACCCAAAACAGAGAAACACAGAACAGCAACAACAAAATCTCTCAGTTTCTTTCAAGATTTTCTCTCTCTAGCAACCTTAACTTTCTCTCTCTAAAACAATCCTTGTTAAGCCACCAAGTGTCTGTTTTTTTGATACATCATTGGTCAAGCCTAATCGCCCTAAAGGACCAATCATTTCTGGTACGACAGTCAAACATGAATTAGTAACCCTTGATCGGTCATTATTAGGAATGATCGGACGGTCATGGTTGAGACTTTATTTTAAAGTTAGAGGTTGTTGTTATGTTGTTACTAAATTACCCTGGATTATGTTGGGTAATTGCTGGATAGGGATTTTAGGACAGATATCGATGTGGAGCGGAATATTCGGGGAGGTTTGACTGGTCTTTGATGGTTCCTTTTGGCGGGGGTTGGATAAGAGTAGATTAGGATAGGCTCCTAAACGAAGCTGTAGTTAGGGTTTTTAATTGTCGTTTCTCATTTGCCGATTCATGTAGTACTTAAAATTGTTGTATAAACATTTTTTTCTTTGCAATTCTAGTTTTCGTAGATCCTGAACTATGTAGTGGCATTTCTTTGATTTTTTTTAAACTGCCATTCTACCTTACCAAAATTTAAACAGTAAATCTAGTAACATAAATTTTAAGTTTCAGTTGTTTAGATGAAAGCTATTTTATTTTTTTATATTAAGCAAATTGAACTGTGAAAATGATAAGGAATTAAGTAGTTGGTCTTCTCATATTAGAAAAAAATGCTTTCAATGCTCTGATACTCATATCAAATATGGATCGAACTGTCTAAAGAAGTTTTGAATCCAGAAACATATCGTTTTATCGGAAGTAATGTTTTTAATGAGATATAATGGTGGTGAGGTGAATTTTAAGAGACTTCTTCTAGATGAAGCACCTTAGTAATGTGAGTAAATAATTCTATTTACGTGGGTTGGTATTGTTTCCAAATTTCATATGTGTAAGTGAAAAGTTTGAATTCAGAAGTATTTAATTTTGAGTAATTGTAGAGAACGGGAGGGCACTAATTTTACTTTTTATTTCTTAATGATGCATCACTTTTTCATTAAGGAAACACTTTCGGTTCTTTTTCGTTTTTAATTTGGAGGGTAATTGACAGCCAACGATCCATAAACTAGTACATAATTTAGCAAACTGCTTATCATTACCTTCTTATAGTCTCGTTAATTTAGGAAATGGTAACGGGTGGAGTTATTGTAACCCACTCCATATTTTTTGAAATAAGAAATATAAGTTAATTATACCATGTTTCTTTAATTGTAAATAAATTATTCATGCCAACTATGATAAACTTTTCTTCTTCTTCTTCTTTTTTAAGAATAAAAATATGGTCATCTTTGCTAGATGTTTGTTTTAGCATATTTCATGTGCACCAAAGAAGAAAAAAAAAAAAGAGCCAAGAGCAAGAATCGATGATAGCAGAATAGCTGTAAATTCATCCTATCAACAAGCAAATTAACGAACAGCAACACAAATATTTTCTAGATTTACATGCGAAAAGTGTAATAAATTGATCGTGGATGTGTTGGTTTTTAGTACTATTTAAGATTTAAAGACTTTTTTTTATTTAATATTGTATATTTATCGTATAATTATGATTATAAAATTAAAAAAAAAAAAAAAACATGTTAGAAAAGGTTACTCTAGTCCTAATAAAAAAAAAAAGATAATTTTTGGGGTGTAAATAACGCAGCTAATATTTTAAAAAGCTAGATGTAGAGTAATATACTAGGATCTGATAATTATGAATAAATATTCTGCTGTTTGTAGTTTTTCACTATCAACAGGTATATTCTAATTGATGAAGTGTTGTATTTGTAATTGATCATGTATTCCCATTGAAAAAACGTAAAGAAAGAACTGAAGTGAAAGAGTTCAATATTACAAGTCACCTTAACTTAAAATTCAATTTAACTCCTCCATATAAATGTGTATATATACAATCGTCACGTTGCATAAAGTATTTTTCTTTGAATGTAAATGCTCTCGCGTGTTTGACTAAATTGGATCAAATATTTATATATATGGTACGTGTGAATGAGATGAATTTTAGTTATTCAAAATTAGCATCAAGAATCCTCTGTTGATTTAAATTTAAAAAAAAAACGGAGAAGAAAAAGAAAAGAAAAAGAGAAAGCCACAGGCAAGCCTAATCCCATGGGTTGGTAACTTAGTATAATATTGTCCTTTTTATCATTCTCGAATCTTAAAATTCGTGATTTGGAAAAAAAAATAAGAAAGAAAAGAAAAAGATGCTAGCTAGTCATTGCACGATAAATTTTATAATACATCGGAGTAATTAGTGGCGATATACAATAGTATCTTACGTAGTACACTTTGAGGAGAGAGATAGACACATAAAAAAGATAGAAATTATATCTATATCCATCAAAAGTGTTAAGAAGATTTACACGTCCGCTCAAATTTTTTTATTTTCTCTCTTTTATTTTTCTTTTTCTTTTTTTGTATGTCTATCTCTCTCTCTAAAGTGAACCTATAAAGTAATTATTATACATGTTATTAGAGTATCTCTCTCCTTAAAGTAAACCTATAAAATAACTATTATACATATCACTAGTTACTCATAATGAATTATAAATTTTCTCTCATTTCACAGCCTCGTTACAACACTCGAAGGAAGCTTAAAGGAAAGCATGAAATTGTCACTTGCAATTGTTGAGACAAGGTGGAGCGCACGAGTTATCATATTTTTGGAACATTAGAGCAACAATCATTCCAATCCGATGTTGATCAGCCAGCATTATTTTTATTTTCCAATTACTGTCAGAGCATCAAGGGAAACTGAAAGTAAACGTGCATGCTCCCACATTAATATTCGATGAGATTGTAAACAGCAGTTCGTGCAAACCATCATCATAGAAGTTCTCGAGAATAATGCCAGTCACACAAGCATTCATTTGTTTTACAATATTAAATTATTAATAAGACTTAGCCCACGGCAGATCGTGCCTTTTCCTTTACAAAAAGATTACCTGAATTGCAATCTCTCTTGCAACGAGGCCATTACGACTCGATTGGGCCGGACAACATCCATGCAAAAAGAAATCAATGTCTACGCAGACAAGCACGATCCAGACTTTCAAAACAAAACTTGGGTTTCCATGATCCAAGCCCAACTAGTCAACGAAAAGGAAATCCTCAACTTCTAGTTCAAAAAACACAAAGAGGACCGGCTTGTTTTAGCGTATTCAATCATTCCTATACATGCCCTACAAGGTAACACGCTGGTGCATTGCTTGGGTTCAAGGCGTACTTTTAGCCTTTGATTGATGGCAGTCCTATGTCCTGTAGTTTCACATGTTGACGTTGAGATAACTCGAGTTGGGTTTTAATCTTGACATAGGTGCAATGATGGAATTTTCCTAACTATATGTTATGCCGGAAGTTTGAGATAATTTACCTGGCTTCCATTTTTACAGGGCATCCTTACAAGTTGAGTGAGAGAAGTAGGGGCATGGCCATAGATGATTTACACAGTTTGAGTTTTCATGGACAGCATTTGCATGTGAATTCTAGTACGATGGAAAGAAGAAAAGGGCTCCTTTTGCCCTAATCAAGTGAAGGGATTGAGTCGAGTACAATTAAAGCCCACCACTCACATGTTCTGTCATTTCCACTTTTAATGCCAATGCCATAAATTATGATTTCAAATTTTGGCAAATAGTCACATGTCTATGTCTAGTCCAATCTTTTTCTTCTTTTTTTTTAATTTATTTTTGGTACAATGTCTGCTCAAATCAATGGTACTAGATACTCGTCATGGCTAATTCAAAACGTTGAAAGAGAGATTTTAGTTTTGGGAGACATTTCCAACTCCAATACGAAAGAGGTCAAGAACACTTGGAACTTGCGTTATATCTGAACAAAATTTGAAGGAGTTGAGCTGAATTATTAGATCGCGATCCAGTTAGCTAGGCCCTACGATGTCTACAGAAACCCTTTCTTCTTTTCTTTTCATTTTTGTTCTTGTGCGAACATAGCGTTTCTGAAGATGGGCACAGGATTTTGTAGGCCATGATGGGCCCGGTGTTTATTGGGCAACTTATGGCTCAATTGGAAAATCCTTCCAAATATGATGTGTCGGCCTTTTCGGAAAATTGCTTCGGCTGAAACTGAATGCTGTTATGGTGGGTACTAACGGCCCAATAAACTCCTGCCTTTTCGTTTTGGGCCTTTCTGGCAAGCTATGAGTCTGCACCAATTCCACAGGGTGTGTCCGTTTTTTAATTCGGTATAAAAGGGCAACGAGGTTAAACGTTAACGTCGCTTTGTAATATACTATTAAAAAAAAAAACGAATTCCATTATTATAATTAAAGTTATGTTTGGTATGACATTTACAGATTGATTGAAGCTATTTTTTTATTTTCTTATTCAAAGTAAAGTCTTAAGTATACTTGATTATAAATAATCTTTCACTTAAATTAAAAGTTTGTTACAAAATAATTTTGATTTAATCAAACGTTACAATTTTCAATTTTAATTTATGTTTGTTAAATTATACTACATTATTTTCTCATAAAAATTGTTTTGTTTTGAATATTTTTATCAAATATACTTATAACTTAAAAGTCATTTTAACTTTATTCTATCTTAAGCTATTTATGAATAACAATTTTTGAACAGCAATTCAAAATAAAAAATCACGTCAGACGAATTCTAAATTTTTCTGGTTTTTTTTTATTTTTTTTATAAAAGTATTAAAGAAATAATAATTTATCTCAAATTAGTGTGTTTTTAGAAGATAAATCTACCCTTCAAGTACAAAATTTAAACTTTCAATAAATTTTT